AAGAACAGAAGCTAATGACATAAAAGATGACATTGCAAATGAAAAACTCTGATACTATAATATTGAATGGTACAACAGCCAGGGGATTTCAATATGCTCCCTACTTCACAAGACAAAGAGAAGCTGTATCTTCAATGAGATTACATTTTTAACTTTCATTATACAAGAATTTTTTAAAAAAGCCTAACTGTAGTCAAGAGTTAGGGAAATAATGTTCATGAACAAATATAAATAACTCCAAAAGGGATATGTAGTGTCAAAAGAAGGCCATTGAGAAACCCTTTTAAAATTATATTGAAGTGACACTACATTACAATATTATATAAATTAAAGGTGTGTATCATTAAAAATCAACATTTATATACTTCACTGAGTTCATCACTGGAGATCAAATTTATCCTTCAACATTCGTCTGCTTTGTCTCAATTTATTCATATCTATCCTCCCTCCCATTCCTCTCTGTTAACCATTAATTGGTCTTCTTATAGTCTAAAAGTTACTTCATTTGTTCTCTCTATATAACATAGAGATGAGTGAAATCATACCAGTGTTGGTCTTTTTCTGGTCTGGTTTACGTCAATAAGTATAATCCCTCTAGCTGCATTCATTTTTTCCCCCTTGTCATATTGTTTTAGTGGCAAAACTCCATCTTTTTTCTTTATAGACAATTAATATTTCACTGAGTATAACACATCTTTATTCATCAATTGATGCACACTAAGATTTTTTTCTATTGTCTATTATAAACATGGAAATAAACATGGTAATGCACAAATCTCTTTGAATTAGTACTTTTTATTATTGGTAGTCAGAGCAGGATAACATAGAATTTCTATAGTTTCTATCTTTGGAGGAATCCCCAAACTGCTTGCTATTATAATTTACATTCCCACCCAACAGTTACATTAGGTTACATTTCTCCTCTCCAATACTTATTTTTGTGTCTTTGGGTTAAAGCTTTTATCGGGCTGGAGTGATAGGTCAGGAGGTACGGTGTTTGCCTTGCATGCATCTGACTGGGGTTTGATTCCCAGCATCCCATATGGTCCCCCGAGCACCGCCAGGAGTAATTCCTGAGTTCTTGAGCCAGGAGTAACCCCTGTGCAATGCCGGATGTGCTTTTCTCACGTTTGAGGTAATAACTCACTGTGATTTTGACTTGCATTTCCCTAATATGATATGAAGAGCAATTTCTCATGTGCCTATTGGCTATGTGTCTAGTCAGGTCCTCTGCTTTTCTGTAAAGGGCAACTGGGCAGCATTCTTTGTTGAATTTTATGAGTTCTTCATATATATTTATAGTCAATCCTTGTCAGATGGTGTAAATATCCCTTCTTAGTAGTGTTTCTGTTGTTAGTCATCTGTGCAGCAGCTTTTTGGCTTGATATAGTTCCATGGTTTAATTTTTTTTTTTGCAATTTTTACACATTTTAATTTCATAAAGTATTTCACAATAGTTCATTATAGATAGTATTCAAACACCCACCCAACCAGCGAGCATCTTCCCACCACAATAAGAGGGAAGCATGAGGGTTGTTTTCATTCTGGAGCCATTTAAGTCCGTATATGAGTATACAAGCAAGTATGTTAAAACCAAACACATGTGTGCTGCTTTCGGTACATCAGTGGGCTAGAGTATGAGGTCGCACGGCCGCTAATGTGGCCAGGTGCTCCAGGAAATACTGTGTTGCTCTTTTCCGGGAGCTTTGTTTTATAGTCTGTGGATCTTGGCTGTTGATGAGATTACAAGGTACCAGGGGCAGTTTGTGAGTGTGACTGCCAAGCTACTGGAAAAACAGGGATCTGGGCAGAGGAGGCCCAGTCCCAATCTGAGCAAGCTTAGAGATCTCAGCCACAGGTCCCAAATACCTAGCTTGCTCTGCTGGTTCCTTCATGGGTGAGGCTTGTCAGAGCTTGTGGAAAGTCACCTTGAGCATGGCTGTGGTTGGGGTCTGGAGGTTTTCGGCTGCCGGGGTTCTGCTTGGGGCAGGGAGGGAGACTCAACCCGGCCCCCTCCGAGGTGCCCTGGTGAAGACAGCCTGGAGCAGGGCAGGAGATTCTGCCCATTTTTTAATTTTTTGCCTCTGATTCCCTTACCACTAAAGTTGCCAAACATCTCTAAGGTTGATGTCAAGGAGTACAATACCTGTTTTCAACTATGTCTTTTATGATGTCAGATGTACATCAAGTCTTTCATATATTTTTGAAGTAAATTTTTGTAATGATACTATATTGTGGCAAATTGTCATCCTGCTGCATTTAGTAGTCCAGTTTTCCAATACCATAATATTGAAAGACTTTCATTGCTCCATTGTAAGTTCAGGGCTTGTCAGAAATTAGTTGTCTAAATGTGTGGTTTTATTTGGGGGCTCTAACTTCTATTCCAATTAATCTGAATCTGTTTATATTCCAAAATCACAGTTTTACTTGCCATCATTTTTTTATATAGTTTTAAGTTGGGAAGCAAGATACTGCCATTTTTTTTTGTGTTTATCTCAGGGGTGCTTTTGTGGTTCAAAATACATTTCATAATTTTGTTTTTCAATGTTTGTGAAGACTACCATTGGACATTTATTTTTGATTTTTTTGAAATAAATAATTTGGAGGGTTTTTGAAGGTGTGAAGGGGAAGAGAGAGAGAAAGGAGAGATATGGACTTTTAATAAAAATCATACTTCCCTTAAAACATAGCCATTATAACAATATTAAATCTTCCAACCCAGAAGTACAAAATATCCTTGCATCTCTTTTATTTCTTTCAGCAGTATTACAAGTTTTTAGATAAAGGTCTTTCACTTATTCCAAGGTATTTTATTCTTTTAGATGCAATTTTTGAATAGGATTATTCTCAGTTCTCTGCCAGCTGGTTATTTGCATACAGAAATGCAACAAATTTTTTTGTATTAGTTTACTATTTCTAAAAGATTTTATAGGAGTGTTGGGGATAATTTTATTTTCCAATATGGATTCCTTTTACATTCAGTTCTTATCTACTTGTTCTTGCTAACACTATCAGAAGTATATTGGTTGCAAAAGTGAGGAGATATCCCTACCTTATTCCTAATGCTAGAGGAAAAGCTCAGTTTTTTTTATCATTTAGTATGATAACTATAGGCTTCCCAAATACTCGTTATTATTTTGAGTTATGTTCAATCTATTCCAAATTTATTTTTTAATCATAAAAAAATCTTGAATATTGTCAAATGTTTTTTTCTGCATTTACTGAAATAAATGCATACTTTTTTGTTCATTTATTGATATGATACAACATACTGAATTAAATGTTAAATGAGCATTCATCCCTGGATCAAAACTCAAGTTGATCATAATGCTGATAATTCTGTCGAAAACTTTTGCCCCCATGTTCAGAGATACCAGAGTTTATACTCTTATAATGTACTTGGCTGGTTTAGGAATCAGAAGAGTACTGGTTTCAAAGGATTTGTTTAGAAGTTTGCTCTCCTTTTCAAATTTACAGAAGACTTAAAGGATAGGCATTCTTCTCTGAAAATTTGGTAAAATTCAGTAGTGGATTCATCCATTAGTATTTCTTGAATGAGCTCTCTATCCTTTTCTTTCTTCTGAGTATCAATTTAGTTTTTTTCATTTAATTTACTTGATATTTCCATCTTCCACCTTTATCAGTTTTACATTACTATCTTCAAGCTCACTGATTTTGTCCTCCACTTGGTCCCCAGAGCTTTCTCTAGTTCAATTTATTTACATTGAACACTTTATAACCTTAAAAAATTTTTTATCATCTGTTGATTTTGAGTTCATCAGTTTTCCTGAAATCTCATATATACTTTTCTTTTTGAATAGTGCTGGGGATTAAAACCAGGTGTCATACATGCATGAAACCAACTTTTTGTATCGTTCTGATTTTGCCTTTCTTCTTCGACCTGTTAGAATTTTCCTCATGATAGTATCAATTTTTTGCAATTGTTTATTCATGAGATTTTTTTTAATCACTGTGAGATAAAGTTACAAAGCTTTCATGTTTGAGTTTTGGTCAACTACAACAATCAAACACTCATTCCTGCACCAGTGCACATTTTATATCCCCAGTATCCCCCCATCCCAATACTTCCCCCTGCCTGTGTGGCAGATAATTTCCATAATACTCTCTCTCTCTACTTTGATTATTAAATATTTAAACACCAGTACCATCATTACTATATGAAATTTTTCCGCCACCACTCAAACCTGCTGAAAAGGCAATGGTAGACAATTTTGTATTGCTTGTTATGAATAGCATAAGATGTCACGCAGTCATGAGAGCACTTGCTCCTGGAATTCTAAAATTTTAGATAATTAGGACCTGGAGAAATCTCTGCAGCAAGCTGCTTGGTTCTGAGAGTCTTTTGTGTGTCTCTTGATCACAGCCATTAAGGAGCTTAAGTAGTAGAAGTAGTTTGTGGGAGTCATCTCAAGGTCCCATCACCGCAGAAGGATGAGAGGGGCCGGCCCATCCCCCATCTTGTGAGGCTTTGCTGTTACTGCTCCTGTGTATAGTATCAATTCAAACTCTATCTGATAGCAATGGGCTGGAGCAATAGCACAGCGGGTAGGGTGTTTGCCTTGCACGCAGGCCGACCCGGGTTCGATTCCTCTGTCCCTCTCAAAGAGCCCAGCAAGCTACAGAGAGTATCCTGCCCACACGGCAGAGCCTGTCAAGCTACCCGTGGTATATTCGAAATGCCAAAAACAGTAACAACAAGTCTCACAATGGAGATCTTACGGGGGCCTGCTTGAGCAAATCAATGAACAATGGGAGGACAGTGCTACAAGTGCTAGCTGATAGAGATATAATCTTCCATGTCTATTTGAATCAGTACTTAAAGTTGAAATAACTGTAACATTTCCAGCAGGTGGTGCTGTATTTGATTATTCTTTTTAAACTTGATCCCGCCCCCCCCCCCCCCCCCCCCCCCCCCCCGCCCCGCATCAGCACAGTGGAAGATGTTTGTTTCTTCACAGTATGTTTCTGTGGAGAACATATTTGATTTGTGGCACTGAAGCTATACCTCTTTTCTCGAAGTGCAGATTTGAAATTCAGCAGCTCTTCTGCCTCAACAGTAGTTCTGATGCAGAAGTAGTGAAAAGAAGTGTAACTCTATAAAGTTTTTGTTCTCCACAGCCTAGCCAGTAACTCCTCTGTTGCCATCTTAGTCTAGAATTTAAGAGTTGTAATGCTTATATACAAAAGTATTTTGTCTTATCTCCCAAACCATTAGGTAACGAGATTTAAGAAAACTCAGATTATTTATGAAATGTATTCTGCAGTAGTGTTATACTATCATTTTTATAGAATCATAAATTTTAAATTTAATTTTTAACCTTTCACTGTAAACAATGACTCAGAATTAAACTTTCAGAATAAAATGTATTTATCTTAATGGATTTAAAGCCAAGAGACTTGAACATTAGCATTAAAAGCAATTTTATACAGAAAACAATTCAGCACAATTCCAGAAGTGAGTCCTTCTGAGAGTCATTCGTTAGTCCAAAATTCAAAGACTTATTTTACCAGTGATCCTGAAACCATATTATTGCAGAAAGCATCCCAAGCCTAAACCAGGCATTTTCAAACCTTTAAATCTGGAGAAATAAGATTTTTAAATGGATGATAATTAAAACATGGGGTTCTGAGCTTTAAACATTGTGTGATGTTGGAGACTCATGCATGCTCTATCACATCCTTAAAAATGTACAGTGTGCACTAAGATTTTGGTTTTGTAGACTCAGTAATACTAAACTGCCTACTGGGTTTAGTAGCTTCTTGCATAAGTTCTTGCAATTGTCCAATTTGTTCATCACGAAAGTCATCAAGTTTTTCTTCTGGGAGAGTGGCTCCAAAACATGCTTTTCCAGCTGAATTTTGACTGTTTTCATTAGCTTGTTGCCAAAGCACTGCTGCATACATCTAATTTAAAAAAAAGTTACATAAAATTAAAATAAGGCAAACATCCTAATCCAAGTAACTTACATTTCTGTATCACAAACAATATACTTCAAGAGATTTTCAAAGGGAAAGGGTAACTTTGGTATAAACAGTAACTAGTGAGTCCTAAAATCATCTCATCAATTAAAAAGTCTCCTTTGAATCAAATAAAGGGAAACTTTTCAGTATTTAACAAAACATCCTTGACCAGACCTAATATTGCAGTTACCATCATCTGTAGATGTTAAAGTTTTCTGATGCAGTTTCTCACTCTAAAAATCAATCTTTTCTTTTTTTACTGGATCACCAGATCACCGTGAGATAGTAACTTTCATGATTACATTTCAGTCATACAATGACGGAGCACCCATCCCTCCACCAGTGCCCATTCTCTACCACCAATGTTCCCAGTATTCCTCCTGCCACCTACCTCTGTGGCAGGCACATTCCCTCTTACTCTCTCTCTCCTTTTGGGTGTTACGGTTTGCAATACAGGTACTAAGAGGCCATCATGTTTGGTTCATAGTCTACTTTCAATACACATCTCCCATCCCAAGCAATCCCTCCAACCACCCTTTACTTGGTGGTCCCTTCTTTATCCCAGCTGTCTTTTCCCCCAGCATGTGAGGCAGGCCTACAAGCTGTAGTGTGATCCTCCTGGCCCTTATCTTTACTGTCCTTAGGTGTTATTCTCCTATTGTGTTACTTTATATTCCACAAATAAATGCTGTCATAATATGTCTGTCCCTCTCTTTCTTACTAATTTCACTTAGCATGATACTTTTCATCTCCCTACACTTATATGCAAATTCATTATTTCATCTTTTCTAACAGCTGCATTGTATTCCATTGTGAAGATGTACCCAAGTTTCTTTAACCAGTGTCGTTTTTCCCAGATTCTGGCTATTGTAAACTATGCTGCAATAAATATACAATTGGAGGTGTCATTTCTACTATATGAAAATTGATCTCTTAATCAGGTAGTAAGTACCGGTATATTTTGGTTTGTGAACCTAAAAATGATACGTACTTTCTGACAAAGAACAGCAACATTGTTCAAAGCTAATACTATCAGTTTAAGATATTTAAATGCTTATGCAATGTGCAGCTTTGTACCCCCTTTCACTCTTGTCCAGACTGCATGAACTCTACATTCCTTTGTTTCAATGAGATAAAGATCAAGCCTTACCAAAATAACCACTGTTCTGTGGAGATAATAGCATCCTTCTAGATCTAGCTATCCTCATTACCATGGTCCTAATGATATCTGTCATTTTTTGCTGCATGCCTCAGTGAGAATATGTATATTGTATGTTCATCATAAATATGTCAAAATACCTAATAACTATGTGCTAGCCTCTGATCCAGAGAGTCAACTTCTATTTTCTCCTCAGATTCCCGTTTGATGCAAAAGGAGAGCTAGAGCATGCACAGTAGTCTTCAGTGTCATTACCTGAGGAATCAGAACAAAATCTAGGATAACCACCAACAGTAGTGGAAAAGCTCAAAATAAAATAGCCTAAATTACGAGAGGTACAAAGGTGATCCATAATACAGAAAAAGGCAATTTTGAAATGACTTACGGATTTAAAGTAACCATGGTCTTCAGAGCGAAGAACAGTCCATGGAAAATAGGTGCAAATCATGAGATAAGGGGTTAATATCCAAGATATATGGACATTAGCAGGTACCTGCTAAAGTGTTCAACATCACTTCCTAGTGTGGAGAAATGTGAATGCTCACTGTCTGTAGAATAGGGCACAGCCACTACAAAAACCAACACAGAAGTACCTCTATCATATTTCTAAAACAAAAGATATATATAAACTAGCTGCAATCCCATATTCCCAACAGGCAAGACAGATAGAAATCACCTAAGTATTTATGGTGTGTTACTTTCATTTTACATGCTCATTGCCCCCCTCACTTACTTGGTATTCTGAGTTCTGTAATTCAGGGCCAAAAGTTTGCTATACTCTTTCCTCTTGTTTGGTTTCAATAAGACCACAATTAAATGAGGTCATCATGCAGTATTTGTCCTCTTTCCTCTTGTTAATTTCATTTAGCATGAAGCCCTCCAAGTGGCTGCAAAGTGCATGATTTCATCTTCTCTTATGGCTGTATTTCATTGTGTGTATCTCACAAACTTCTTTACTGAATGGATTTTTTAAGCTGTTACATATACAAATTGGGATGTTATCAGTTTAAAAGAGAAAGAATCTTGCCATCTGCAAAAACATGAATAGACCTTGAAAGTATCAAATGAAATAACTCCTCAGACAAAGGAATATATTGCATGATCTCACTCATAAGTAGGATCTTCAAAACAAACCTTTCATAAAGAGAAAAGATTTGTAGTTGGCAAGGTACAAACTTAAATCTACTCCTGAGTACCTTTACCTAGAAAGAAAAATTCAGAATGTCAAAATGTAGCAAATGAGTTAGCATCCTTTGGACTTTTTTTTATAGCTCTACTGTTCAGCATAACAGTGTGCAACCTTTAGTAAAGAAAGAACTAAAATGTACTACATTTTTTTTCCAGTTTCGAGAATTCAAGGAATAATATAAAGAGAAACAACCAAATCTGAAATGTCTCCTGATGGAAGAACTTACTCAACTCTGCCTGCAATTAATCTACTTCAGTTTACTGAACAATGTTAGTTAAACATCACTATGGGAGTGCAAAGAAACCCAGTCTTGAAGGCTAAAAAGAAAAAGCAAGAGCACTACAGCACAGAAAACCAGAAGACAATCACCTTAACCAATCAAGGTCACCAGTACTGAGTCACAGTAACAGAATGATACATAACTTAAAACTGTTATTTTTCCTCATGCATTTTTTTAAAAAATCACAATTTCCTAACCAAAATAATAGAAATTCAAACTGATGCTTTAGAACAAAGTTTATAAATCTGATTAACTGCATGCTCTATTAAATTACCATGTATACATTCAGAAAGTGAGTCATGAATTTCTGCTAACTCTACCTAGAAGTAAAAGTCAAAGTGGAATAAAAATTCTTTATTCTTTTTGTGCCTGGTATACACAAAACAGGTTCTTATGAACAAATCTATACCACAATAAGAACTAGCAAGAAAGAAAATTGATCATAGAATGGTTAAAGAGTCAAAGCTGAAAAGCTACTGAACAAATTTTAAGGAAATACTCATGCATATTATAGAACAGTATTAAGAGCTCCCAAAGAGATGGGGGGGAAAAAACTCAGTTTGCAGGAGTCAAAGACTCTAGTACCAAATACTAAATATGGTCAACTTATTGGTGACACAAGTGCTTTTATAATAACATAAAGCATAAATCATACAGTTAAAAACTGTATGTTATTATAACTAGGTTAAAAGTCTCAAAAAAGAGGAATCATAATTTATAATAAATATGAATTCTATTAATTAAATTTGAAGATAAGCAAGCAGGAACAAAAATCGTTTGGACATAAACATAAAACTTCAAATTTTTATTATTATACTTAGTACTTTTCCTTCTTAAGATCACTCTAAAGTTACAGCAACTAAAAAGCCCAAATTACAATCTTCTCTCTTTAACAGTAAATACAAAGAGTTTTAAGAAGATCAACATATTATTGACTTACAATGACTGAATGATTTGGGGCAAGACATTTATCATATGTAAGTTTTTTAAATTTACTAACATCCAACCAAAAACTTGAGTATTTAATCAAGCTTTCCCTAGGGAACTGATTAAAAACACCACTACAAACCTAAAAGTTGCTGGCATCATTAGTATACAGTATTTCATATTAAGGAAAAATAATTATTTTATTATTTTTCATCTCCCTTTGACCAAGTTTTATGATATCCCAAGTCACTGTTAATGGATTATTCATTTTTATAGCATGCTATTCCTTGCCCCAATCAGTAATGTATCTCACTAATCCATCAAAAATAAACAGAGAAAACAGCATTAGTGTATTAGTATTAGTCTATTTCTCAGGTGGCCAAAGTTGGGCCTCCCTGGATTCATGTTCCCCAGGTTTCTCTGCCTGGTGCAATAAACCAAAATCAGAACTCATCAGTGACTCCAGGGATGAGCAAAACAGACACTAAAACAAGAAAACAGATTTCAAGAAAACAATAAGAAAAACTATAATGAATCTGTTTTATAGATGCTTTTTAAAAATTTGTTCACTACGAAATCTATGTACCCTTGACATTAGGTAAAAATTCAAATCTGTCACAAGTTAATGCAAGAAAATAAGCTCCTTTTTGCTTTAGAAATTCATCCAAAAGTTCCTAAACATAAGTTTGTGATGGTAAATTTCTTTTTTGATTTATAATTTGCAGTAATTCATATCTAAAATGTTCAGGTTATATCACTAAAAATGTAAGAATCATGGTAGGGGCATGGAATGATATGCAGATAGTTACTAAGGAAATGTGAAAAAAGAAACCACAGTGAGCTATAATTATATATCCACTAGACTGGCTAAAATTAAAATCATTACCAGGACTAAAACAACTGCCTTAAAGTGGGAGGCCTGGGGTTCTTCTATCCCTGAGCACTGACAGAAACCAAAAAAGGAAATAACCTAGCCATTTCAATCTTAGACATTTTACTCAAATGAAATAAAAACACTTATGAACTTCTTAGTGCTGCACACTTTACATCCTCAGTACACAATGATGGATGGCTAAATAAAGATGTGGGGTGTGTGTATATTCCTCAATACCAGGGATTTATTCAGCTATTTTTAAAAAGATGAAATCTTGCCAATTTTAAGCTAAATCAGTCAGAGAGACAAAAATAAAAACAAACAAACCCTTAGAGTAATTACTTAGGTGATAAATTACGTAAAGGGTTACTGTAGGAGGTGTAGGTGTGCTAACATACATTTGAAAAGGTAAACTTTTGTTACTAAAACATATTCAGTACAGATGTTAAGATGTTGTCTTACATGCAACCAACCCTATTGGTTGCACCACCAGGAATGACCCAAAAGCCAAAAC